GTGTGTGTGTGTGTGTGTGTGTGTGTGTGTGTGTGTGTGTGTGTGTGATCTTGGGCAACCACTGAACTTGTCTAGGTATCTCCCTTGGTTTTCCTCTGTAAACTCTGGATGACGGTAGTTCACTGGGTCTTTCCAGTACCTGGAGTGGAAATCATGTGGCCATGCTGCATGACTGGTAAGTATGACATCTCCAATAAGGTTGTTAGTTCAGAAGAGAGGACGCTCATTCTCTGCACTAGGCTACTCATATGGGGATATAACTGCCAACAAACTAGCAAGCTGAGGTAGAAAGGCTTTGTCCATTGTATCACTGTTGACCACATGTAATTATTTAGCCCCTGAAATGGGCTAAATATCTCTGAACTGAGATACACTGTAATTATAAAATACACAAGAAGCTTCCAAACAAAATAATATAAATATTTCAGTTACTTTTAAATATTAATTATGTTGTAATGACAATATTTTGGATCCTAAGAGTAATCTCATTTTTGTCTTTTTTCTTTCTTTTCTATTTGTTTATTTTGAGACAGGGTTTCTCTAACCCTGTAACCCTAGCTGTCCTGCAACTTGCTCTGTAGGACAGACTGGCCTCAAACTCACAGAGATCCTTCTGCCTCTGCTTTGCAAATGCTGGGATTAAAGGTTTGCGCCACCACTGGCCAGCTCAATTTCATTTTTTTTTTAATGAGACTATTGAAGATACTGAAGTTCCACACCTGTCTTCATTCTGTTTCAGTGTTGATACCATTGCTCTCTTCAGGAGCGTATCTTCATAGACCCACCTTCCTCACAGTGATGATGGGGCTTGGGGCATGAGACCCTGTAACACGGCACACTGACATCAGAGATAATAGAGAAGCAGGAGGACCTGTCTACCCCTGGAGGGGCCACCAGGCCTTCATCTGAGATATTTGCCCAGTAAGTATCAATTAGGAAGGCCTAAATAGAAGGCCTTGCACACTTTACTCTAGTTTTAGACACTTTGTTATCCATGCATGATTTCCCTTCAAACAGTATAAAATAATGCAATTTTCCAGACATGTGTGGTGGTAAATGCTTGTAACTCCAGTACTCATAAAGGCTGATGCGGGAGGATTGCCATGAGTTGCTACATAGCAAGTTCCAGGCCAGCTGGAGCTACATAGCAAGACCTTTTCTCAAAAACAATCTATCTATCTATCTGTCTGTCTGTCTGTCTGTCTATCTACCAATCACCTATCTAGATATCTCACCAGGCAGCAAAGGGACATGGCTTTAATCCCAGAATTCGAGCAGATCTCTTAGGTCAAGGTCAGCCTGGTCTACAGAGCAGGTTCCAGGACAGCCAGGGCTACACAGAATAAAACTTTGTCTAAAAGAACAAAAACCACAAACAAACAAAAAGAACAAAACCCAAACCAAACAACAAAAACCAAAAATATAATTTCTCCTAAGTTTTTGAGTATTCATTTCCAGACAGATAGAGATATGGGAGTTCTGTTCATAGGGATTTTAACCTTAATAGAAGTTAAGAAAAAAAAATCATTCCCACTCCCCATAAAGGTGAAAGGCGACCCAGCTGCTCGCACTCAGCCCTGCTCACTCTCCACACTCTTGGTTGGTGTCTGTTGCCTTTAATACACACAGCCTTTCCCTGAACACTAAGGATGAACCTAGACAGGCAGGCAGGCAGGCCAAGGGCCAGATGAGGAAAGAAAGCTCCGTAAAACTGCTCAACAGTGGATGCAGAGGATGCAGAGGATGCAGGATAAGGTGAAGTAGGTGACTCACACTGGTCTATCACAAAATAGCGGCTGACGGTAGTGATGCTGTAGAGGAGGTGGCCAGGAAAGCCCTCATCATCAGGATCCACCGCCGTGATGTTTGCCACGATGGTTCCTGGAACCACTTCCTCCGGGATGGAGTACACTCTCCTTGGACTGAAACGAGAATACTGCAGATGTGGCTAATTTGCAGGGCAGGGGAGGGTGCAGACTGGGCGGTAGGTATTTTGGTGTGTGCTAAATATAGCCCTGCCTTGCTTGAGTTGCATCGCCATGCAGAGAGCACACAGCAGCTGAAAGGAGGGGTGACTGGTGTCTGTATTTCCAAACATCACATCCTTGTGGATGCAAAGAATGCCAGGCTGTTGCTGCAGCAATTTAGATAGCACGGCCACCGCCTGCTTGCCTGCCTGCCTGATGCCTTTCTTATCATTAACATCCTCTTGGATAAAGATATACATCATCTATCTGGTCAGCATCTCTCCTCCCAGTTTCTGTTCTACAGGCATCTAGATTCTTTTAAAGAGCCCACCTGGAGCTGATGTTCAGAACATCAGGTTTCTTAACTTATGCCTGACTCCCAACCTATGGGTGATGCTCTGTAGTGTATTCTAGTATCTTTGGTCTTTGTTTTTTCTTCTTTTTTTGCCTGACACCACATTTGCACATGGAACCTAGGCATCATCATGAGGTCAGCTCTCTAAGCTCCCTGCAGTCAGCAACTCACCACTGTTTCCAAGAGGCGCTGCATGTAGCTCCAAGTACCCAGCTTACCTACCTTTCTTGGACCTCCATGCTTTTACAAAAGACCAGTAGTGAGATCATTCCAGACTGACACAGTAATCTTTAATTACTCTGTTTCCTAAGGTGCCATTTTCCCATTCAGTCCCTCCTTGAAGGAAGGCGGTCTTCATCTCAGCTCTAAATGGCATCTTCATGTTGGGGGCTCAGATCACATTCCTTTCCCTGCCTCACCACTGCCACCCCAGTGGTGAGAGGGCCAGAGAAAGCAGACACAAGAGAGAGCTTTAGGTTGGACTCAAGAGAAGCAGGGAGCATCTGTAGCCAGGCCCTGATCCTACCTATCTCACAGGCCCTGCCCTGAATCCTGGGACATCCAGGGGAGCAGGCAAGCTCTCAATTCGACATCCAGTGTAACCCCAACTGCGTGCCTTTGAATCATGGTTTGTGTGGGATGGGGGTGGGGGGGCTTATAACTAAACAGCCTGAGCAAAATGAGGTGGTGTCTTGTCCTTTCTAAAGTGCAGGCTCCTGGGGACACCATTCAGGAACGCTGAAGCAAAGCTGATGCAGAGTCTAAAAGGTCCATCTCAAAATCACTAGAGAGAACGAAGGAATCTGAAGCTGCCCTCTGGGTAGCTGCTTCCTTTCTCTGCTAAACTGCTAACTGCTGCATTTCAGAAGACTTAGTACAAAGCAGACTAGTGCCCAGAGGACAACGTATTTTTTTTTCTCTCTGCCATCCTATCAGTTTGCTTTTCTACCTGGGCTGTGGGGAGTATTCCTGGCTGTCTGACTGTCAGCTCCACAGCTATCATCTTCTTACACTTTTCGGAAGAATCCGCAGAGATGTGCGGGCCAGTGCCTCAGCCTGGGTCTGAACTGATATATCACAACCATTTCTCAACCTACCGGTGCATATTTCTAGGCCATCACAATTGTAGAGATGCCCCAGGCTCTCTGGAACCCAGCCCAGCACCAGACTCTGATGGAAATATCCTGGGGGAAGATTACTTGCTTCTGTAGTTGCCACAGCTGCTCTGGAGCTCGTGTACCTGACCAGAAACTTTTCAGCTGCAGCATGTTTGCAAAGCGCCACGATGCTAGCCTGGGGATAAGACGGGGCTTAATACCTCCCAGTCTTGAAACATGTTTGCTTTTGTATGTGCTTGTATGTTCTTATGCATGCAGGCACTCACGTCAGTGGAGGCCAGAGAACATCCTTGGGTGCCATTGCTCAGGGTTGCCCACCCGTTCTTTATTGAGGCAGTGATTTTCACCAAGTAGACTTGGCTACTTGGCCCATGAGCTCCAGGTTTGTCCATCTCTGTCTTCCCAGCACTGGGATTTGTGAGTGTGCAAGCATACACAGCTTTTTCGCATGAGCTCTGGGGATGCAGAGCAGCAAGCGCTCTCGAGCCTGCTTGCCGGCCATCTTGAAGCTCCTTTGCAAGCATTTCATACCTTGCTCTTGTGCTTGTGGCTTTTCAAGTATTTTCATTTTATTTATATGTCTGTGTGTGTGAACATGTGGATAAAGGTGCCTGAGAAGGCTAGGAAAGAGTATTGGATCCTCTGGGGCTGAAGTTGTAAGCTGCTGTGAGCTGCCCCGTGTAGGTGCTGGGCACTGAAAACCTGAACTCCGGTGCTTCATAAGAGCAACAAGCACTCTTAGCTGCTGTGCCATCTTTCCAGGTCTAGTTTTACTTTTAATTCACACAAAAAAAATAATTGTATCTTGCCCTTGGGTTTGGTAGAGTAGCTTGTGCTGTGTTTGTTCACAGCCACTAACACTGCTGACCCATGGCACAAGATGGTGCTGTTTCCATGACTGGGGCCTCTGCCCAGTCACTGCAACAGAAACTCGGGCTGCTTAGCCGGTCATCTGCTGGCTCTAAATTCCACCTTATCTTCCCGAATCCTGGTGTGCAGCAGGCCAGGGTCTTCCTTTGGGCCTGGGATGCAGCCAGGTTCACCCTCTCTCCCTCACCTCTGCTGTATGTAGACACAGCAGACACAGCCATGTGTCTTTCTGGATCCACCAAGCCAAGAAGAAATTTTGGTATACCAGCAGCCTTATGACACCATTATGGCGACACCAGGATGGGCTTGAACATTGTTATTACATGGGGTATTCCCTTGAACAGGTGCCTGCCCTGCATTCATCTTCTGTGTGTGCTTCACAATGACCCCTGTGCTCAGCCCCGACCCTTCTCTCTACCAATTCCACAGTCCCATGGTAAATGTGAATGAGTGTGTGTGTGTGTTGGGGGGGAGTGTCAGGAGGTGTGGGAGGCGAAGGGGACTGTGGGGCTGAGAGGCATAAGGGACGCTGGAGATTGCTCCTTCTCATCTCTTGTCTAGGCCCGCACCAAGTACGGTGTCTGTTTGGTCATGAGGCTGTCTACGAAGGCCTGTGAGCTGTGCCCTGCATGCACCCAGGCCTACCTGGTAAAGCGTGGGACCTCATCGTTGACATTGACGATAGTCACCTGGAGTGCCGTGGAAGCTTCGAGATCCCCGCTGTCTCTCACTCCCACAATGAGGTAGAAGCTGTCCGGGACAAAGTCCAACTGAGAGACACAACTTTACTGACACCACCACAAAGAGGAGGGAAGAACACAGTGGCAGCAGTGAGGTGAGCGGCCCCCATCCAGCCACCTGCTTCTTCAAATGTTAGGCGTAGCCGCCTTCCCTCTCTGGCCACAAGGCTCACTCTCTCGTTTCTCAGTCTGGGGTTTTTCTTCATGGTTACTACCTCCCTGGACAGACAGCCACTTTTGCCAGCCAAGTCGTGGTCTCTGCCTTTACAAAGTCCTTGCAATGGGCCTGTTCCACCCTGTAGGAAATGAGGCTCCCATTTCATTCATTCATTCATTCGTAGTGCTGGCTGAGGAAGCCAGGGCCTCCCGTATGCAAAGTAAGCACTGACCTACATGCCGTCCTCAATAACCACTATGGCTCTCTTGACTGGTATAGAGCCAGGAGCAGCATGTGGCTTTCCCAAGGCCTATGGCTTCCACCTCAAAGCCTGATCTCTCTTCCGAGGCTTTCCTGTCACACTTGCTGCTTTTGGATGCCCTTGGGGTGGTGCTACCCTCCCTGCTCCCGAACCCCAACTCTGGACATGCCCTCCACCCCTACACCATGCTCTGCTGCTTCACCTGTGTGTCCTGTGGGGTTTCCAGCCTGCTGAAGCCAAGCTCCTAGCCATACCCCAGGTTGCTCAAGGAACCCACACCCTGTTTGCATCCGGTTAGCCTCCTTTTCTTGAGTTTTCGATAGCCAGCCTTCAGGGAAGGCCACTGAGAAGGTTACCTCTTTTGTCCTGCTTCAAAGTCCAGTTCTGTGGTGGAGAAGAGGGTGCCGTTAGCGGACAGTCTGAAGTTCGTCGAGGGAGAAATGAGGAAGTACTGTAAAAGAAGGGCCAGTTAGGATTAGGTCAGCCCACACTCAGCTGCGTTCTCTCATGTCCTGTCTAGTACTCTTGGTATGTACAACACTTTGAATGATTTAGGAAAATGTCGGGATAAGCAGTTCTGAGACTTTGTGGTTGCTGAGGAGAAAGGTCTTTAGATGTGGTTGGTCAGAACGCCTGGCCGGTACTGATGAGTACTCTCTAACGAGCTGTTCCAACTACTGAAATTTTACCAAAGGGCCCCTGCCTGCTGCCGGCTCTAGCCTCCTTCTTCATGCCCCTGTCATCTTCCTGTTGCTTATCCTGGCTCTAACACTATGAGGCGACTTTAACTAACACTGCCTAAACACACCTAAATCGTGTTAGATATTAGGACCCCACTGGCATAAATGAGATCTTTTATAGTAGTAGTCTTCCCACAACTTTGGGTAGCTGTGGGTTTTTGTTGTTCTTGACAGCAGTGCCCAGTGCCACTCTCTTGACTGTTGCCTGTCACACCCATGAAATCTGATAGAAACACAGAGGCTCATGCATAGAACTCACTAAGCTCCAGCCCACAGGGCCACCATGTCTGTGCTCCTCTACAGGAGCTTAAGATGGCTTCCTTGTCTGGGGTATGTACTCAAGGAAGCAGAAGAATGGGACTAGGGAGCCATGGGGGGGGGTTTAAGAGTAGGGTCAAGTTATGTCTAAACCCTGGAAATCTTGTCCTGAGATCAGCAGGAGTAGGACCACTGCCCCCATCCAGGTCTCCATGTCCAGGTGCACGTAGTCCTGGGCCTCCACCTTTGCCCCTCTGGAGGAGGTCATATAGCCTGGTATCCAGGTTAAACTTCCTCTTCCATTATAAGGTCATGTCCAGCAGCACCTGGAATTCTTCCTTATGCAAATGACACATCCCTAGCACCCTGGCCCCAGCCAATAATGCACACTCACCCCAAAAGCCCCTACTTCATCCCCCGAAGGTTTAAGTAACCTTTTTCCCCCCAATTAAACAAGGTGTTTCACTGAACCCTGTCTCCCGAGGGTCCATTCTCATTGCGCTCACAGGGCCTCCCTTTATTCCCCCGGGACCCACTGGTCATGGTTGAGTGGAAAAGCAGAGTCTGAATGTAGGGCAAGGGCTTGCATCAGAAGGGCTGGGGTACATGTTCAGATTCTTCCCTTGCCTGTGCCTTACAGACAACACCAATGGCTCCACTCCTTTCTTTTGGGAAAACTGAATGAGAAGATGTGCTGTTAAATATGAAGGGCGGCGAGAACACAGTTTATGTCCCTTTATGCAAAGGGCTCTGAGTTCAGGTTTCATTACTAATGGCTAAAATGAGAGGTGATCTATCCCCTAGGTCTTAGATGGGTGAGTCCAGTAATTAGTGAAGGGTTTGTGACCAGAACTACAGGCCCCAAAGACTAGGATCATAGGAACACTGCCAGGGTCTCCAACCAGCGATGTGTGTACGGGTGCTCGGGAGCTCCTAGGATCAAACAGAGTGGCCAGAAAATAGATTAAAGGCCTCCTCTGGGGCCAGTATAGTCTTTAAATCATATTTGAGAAGTATGCACTTTCTTTTTATTATATAATGATATCTTTCTTGTTGTAATGAACAGACTTTTACACAAAAATTGGAGAAGGCAGGAAAACATTAAAAAGTCACTAGCTGAAATCCATGTGTGAAATCTCATCATTTTGATGGATTACTTCCTGCTATTTCTATGCAAATACACACAGTCCAAGATCTCAAGGTGGTGTACTAATCGAATGGCAATACTGTATTCTTTTCATTTCTATCTTGAACATTTCCTTATAGCCCTGTGTCTCCTCAGAGCCCTACTTGGCTTCTAAGAGCAGAAGAGATAGTGTGTTCAGGATGAGTCCAGAGGCTCAGTCCGTAAATCTGACTGTCCAGCCTAGTTAGCTAATGACAGCACAGCATTTTAAACATGGGGCTTATTCAACAACATCTTCTCGGTGTTCGTTTAAAAGGAGACAGTTGGGCAATGCCAGGAAGCAATCTTCTGTGCCCTTCCCTCAGGAACATAGACCCTCTCCATCGTAGATGCATCTCTGCAGACCCCCACCATCTCTCTAGTTTTTTGTTTTGTTTTGTTTTGTTTTTGCCTGAGCAGCAACAGGTTGGCCGCAAGCTGCCCACATGCAGAGCACATGTCTCTGGGTTGAGTCTTCCCTGTAAGGCTTCCTCACGTAACAGTAATCAGAAGCTCTTGATGGATGTGATGGCAGAACTAGGCTTTAGAGACCCGTGAGGACACTTACTACCATGCATCAGAATCAGAATCTTTCTGTGTTTTGTAAAACCCAGGGACACAAATCTATGTATTCAGTTCTAAGCAGTGGGGATTTTGGCATGCAGAAATGGTAAATAAGCTCCCCCTCTGAAAGTTCATGCTAAACTGAGGGAACAGAGTGATCCAAGTGAGGGACTACAAGAGGGATCAATAGAGACAATGACAGGAACCAAAACCTCTTAGACATATTTTGGATATAAAAGCCACAAATTGGGATAGTAATATGTATGTGATTCTGGAGGAAAACCTCTCGGATTTGACACCTGGTCCCACCATTTCTAGCTCTGTGTGTTTGTGTAGGATAGTGACAACATAGCCTACCTATGGAGGAACCTACAACATGCTTGCCTTAGTCACTGTTCTATTGCTGTGAAGAGACACCATGGCCACAGCAACTCATATAAAAGAAAGCATTCACTGGGAGGTAGCTCACAGTTCCTGAGGCTTAGTCCATTATCATTGTGACAGAAAACACAGCAGCAGAAGGCAGGCATGGCTTTGGAGTTGTAGCTGAGAGCTATATCTTAGAGAGGGTGAAGGGCCTAGTATGAGCTTTTGAAATCTTAAAGCCCATTCCCAGTAGCACACTTCCTCCAATAGGACCACACCTCCTAATCCTTTCAAACATTTCTACTCCCTGGTGATTCAACATTCAAATATAAGAGCCTGTGGGAGCCGTTCTTACTCAAACCACCGCAGTGCTTGGCAGAGCTTGGAACATGCTGGGTGGTAGCTTCTACCGTTCAGCTAAAATGCAGGGTCCTGTTGAGGGTGTAGCTCAGAGGTAAAGCTTTTGCCTCACATATACAAGGCTCTGAGTTCAATCCCTGGCCCTACAGCATCTTAAAAACTAGAATAAGGTCCTGAAGGGAAAGGCATGCTTTTTGTTTCCATGAGCCACACAGGAGCTCATTTAGGTCTTTGTTAAATATTCAATGGTAAGGTTTCCTGCCTTCTAATTTCTCACTGATGAGAGTACAACATTCCCACCGCTGAAGAATCGTAAGACAAGCAAGAGTATGGCGCTGTGTGTCCGTCACCCCAGCACTCACAAGCCAGAGCTGGGAGCGTCAGAGTCCAGGTCAGCCTGCATTTCAAAGTGAGAGCCTGTCTCCAAAGCCAACCACAGCAGCATTTAAAAAAAAATCTGAAAACAACAACAAAAATACCATGTCAACCATTTCGTTGAAGTGTAGTAATGCTGCATTTGGCTGTGAATTCGTGAGTGTAGCTTACAGTCCCAACAACTGCTGTGGAAAAGACAGAGTCAAGGAACCAGCAGCTGATAGAATCAGCCTTGGTGAGTAAAAACTGGCGTCATGAGCATTTTCTTCTTAATTTCTGCTGCGCTGATTTCCTAAAACTTTGATAATCTTTACACATATGTGTGTCCATATATATGTATGTATGTATGTATGTATGAATGATTAATGCTAGGCTAATTCTCTTTTCCTTCAGTCCCCATGCTTTGTTCATGGGCATGCAGCTTTGTGTTCAGAAAGCAGATAATATCTGTAGACTAGAAATATTGTGTCATGTGGCCCCTTGCCAGTGACTCAATAAGGCTTTCTGTAAAACCTGGCATTCTCGCCTCCTTTTTAAAGGCTTGTTTAATCAAAGCTCTCCCTTGATATTCATTCTTGGAAAACAGAAATTAAATAGAATGAAAAGCAACTGCAGCCCCTCTCTGCCCCAGTCCTGGCTGAGAAAAGTCCTGAGTAATCAGATCAATTCAGCTAACAAATGCTCGCTAGGCAAGCTCTCTGCTTTCCTCTGGGACTATCCCTTCCAGCCTCCCATGGTTCTGTTTGTAGGCTCCTGGTTGCCCTTCGTCACAAAAGCTTCCTTTTGGAAGACACAGGGCCCATCCTTTCTGTGCTAGTCACGCTGCGTAATGCTTCTGGTGTAACCAGAGGGAAGGTGAGGTGGCCCAGTTTCCAAAAATGTCAGCTCCCTGGCAGCCAGCAACCCCCTGGGCTCCTTGCTACAGCGTGGCAGCAGCTGGCGAGATCACTGGGTGCCTTTCCCAGCCATCCTGGCTGTTAGACCTTCAGCACAAAAATCAACATGGATTTAGCCTTGTCTCCTAGGAACAGGGCATCCACGCCACACTGAGCCAGTTTCCAGAGGGAAGCATGAATCCTCGTTCTCCCAAGTCCAGGGAGGAAGAATGACACTTCAAGAAGCTGAATTCAGGACCCCCCTGAAGGGACGCTAGGCCACTGGAGCAGGTGGCTCTGGCAGGCCTTGCCATTCTCCCCCATTCCCTCCGCCTTGCTAAAAACCCTTAGAGTGCATTCCTAAAGCCAGCCACCAAGGTCTACTCCCTCGTTTGGCTCCTCCTGAGGCTGACTACCAAGGTCCAGTTATTAACGTATTCAAGTCTAGCAATCAAAAGCCCCCATTTGGTTCCTCACCTAATTAACATGGCCAATTAAAATTAAACACCTCATCCCAACATGAGGTTTCCCCTTTTCTCTTTATAAACTACAATTTGCATAAGGGCCACGTCTCGCTCCTCTCTATCCTTTGCCCCATTCCACTCTGAGACAAATATCTCTTCCTCTTCTCCCTTATTCCCTTTCCCTTCCCCCTCATCCTCTAGCTGTCTTTATCTCTTATTCCATGCCCTCTGTCCTTCTGGGGCAAATAAGTCTCCTTTGCACTCAGAACTTGCTCTTGGGAGTC